GGGAATGTTTTTGGTGTGCGGGTGAGTGATACGAGATGGTGAGAAGCAGAGCGCATGCATGTGGGCACAGGCAAAGCGCATTCACAAGGGTGGGGGGAAGAAAAGAGAATAATAAACAAGGCATGAACTCAAAAGGGAAAAAAATAAAAAAAATACAGCGAGAACAGAAAAATTACTGTACTTCATTAATCACAACACAAACTGTTAGAAACGGATTAAATATATATACAAAAGAACCGAAATATAGAACAAAACAGAAAACAAAACCCAAATTAATTAACAAAATAATTTACAGTTATTTTAACAAATGTTAGAAGCAACAAAACATTAAAAGCCAACAAAAAATCACCGCGTTATTAAACAAGAAAAAACAAAACAAAAAAAACGACCAAAAAAAAAAAAAACAACCAAAAAAACCCAACCCTAACCATCCTGAATCCATAGAGAAATTAACAACAAACAATAATTTCTGAGGTTAGCACAGACATCAATTAGCTACAAGCACATGGCAAGAATTCACATCTTTTAAGATTTTGTGTCAGAGTCCATAACCCAACCCAAGAGCAAACTTTCCTTTAAAAATTTTGTCTTCTGAACTACGTAGAAAAAAACCCCCTTCTTCTTAACTCTATTAATAAATCCGTCGTTCATCAAGATGGGTTTGTTTGGGTTTTTTTGCTTTTTATTTTGGTAAGTGTTTTATGGCATTCGCAACTGTATAAGGTCATCAAGATGTTTGACGCTAACACCCTTCTGTAGGTGGAAATCAGCAAAATACTGCAGAGGTTGTATATCGTTAGGGGCACAAAAAAACTACAAACTTCAAGGTACAAAAACCACAAACTTCGAGTAAAAAATGCAGACGAATCGACCTATTCCAGACTATACAACATCCCTTTCATTAAAATAAGGCCAAGTTGTTTGCCGCCCATGACAGCAAATTATAAGGCAGAAAGAAAAAAAAACCCAACCATGTATCCCTTTCATCATGCTGAAAAAACAGCACTTTATTTTCATTCATCAATTTCCTCCGCCCCCTAACCCCCATCACCACAACCGTTTCATTTGCATCTCAGAAAATGTCACTTCAATTAAAATAGATCTCTTTTAGCAAAAACTTGCAGCCTTTTGTGATAAAATATTCGGCAGCTTTTTATAGGACTTAAAGACCCTAAATAAATGAACCAGTTTAGTAGAAAACCGGCCATAGGTTGTTGGCGGGTGCTCTGGTGTGATCTACTCCTTCTTTCCTATCTATCGTCCTAATCACTCCTCCTCCTTTTTTGTGTTCGTTTCTCTCTTGTAACACCTCTAATCTTCAGCACTTATATGGCCTTATTGTGTTGCAAGTGCCGTAAAACTCTTACTAAAACAAGAAAACTTGCCATGTCCCTGTAACGTCAATGAAACATTCAAGCACAAAAGCAAACACCTAAAAGTGTTATAACTTAAGAGGTGAAGTAGTAATACCAAATTAACAACTACAGCCAAAAGAAACTACTTAGTGCCCATTAGTGCTAGGAGAATCACATGCAAAGTGAGCATCGGTTTACACATTCAATGCCCAGATAAAGGAAACAGGTGATTGAGTTGAGGAAGGAGAGAGAGAGAAGGAGAGAGAGAGAGAGAGAGAGAGAGAGAGAGAGAGAGAGAGAGAGAGAGAGAACTAAAAGACAAACATGCACATATACACAGGGAGACGGGAGAGAGAGACACAGAGAGACGATAGACAGAGAGAGACAGAGACAAAGGAAGAGAGAGGTGAGCGGGTGATGGGTGCAAATAGTAAAGGCAATCAGAGAGCTGAGAAAAAATTATGTGTACAAAAAAATTCACTTTCATCCTTTGAGTGTCGAGTACAGTAATTGCATTTGAAAAAAGCCTGAAACGAAATTACTGTCGGACAAAGTCTTGACCGTAAGTCTGTATTTTCAGATACAGTGTAGCCTAGCCTAACAATCAACGCTGGAAAAAGAGCCTTGCTTCTAAGACACTTTCTCATTGTTGAACGTATGGAATTCTGGAACAGCAATCTACTCAAAATCCAAAGGATAAAGTGAATCCCCACACAAAAGCCAACAACACAATTAAGAAGTTGAAAAGGTTTACAAAATTGCAGTAATATGGTTCAGATATTCAAGCTTAGCAAATGTGATCAGAGGCATGCAGTATAATGTCAAGATTGAATTTTCTGCACGAGCCTATTTTGCCCGACATTATATGAAGCGTGGTTTTTCCAAAACTCAGTAAGTCAAGGTTGACACGCGTCTGGTTTTACCATGATGCCTCACACGTTTATAATGTACACATGACCCATTTATGTATCATTATGTGCACATGAGTATATAACGAAGACCTTGAACATTAATGATTTATTTATAGAGGCACCAGCCATCCATGTCCAGGAACTGTTTTAGCCTTTTTTTCCTGTCTGCGGATTAATATTCTTTTTTTCCCAAATTTATTGGTTTTGCTTCCATTTACCCCGTATCTATTGTTCTCAACCAGTATATAATGATTTAGAATTTAATAATGCTGGAGTCCGGGACACAGACCTTTCTGCTGTGAGCCGTGGATATGTCTGTCTGAGACAATGTATGTGTGTGGCGTCGTGGTGAAACCAGGTGCTTGTCAAAATTGACGACAGAGTTTTGGAAAACCGCTCTTCATATGATAATTATGATTTATTTGACTGTATTTCAAAGGGGTCAACACCCCACACCCGTCCCCTGTCACCACACGTATCCTAAACCTTGAGTATTGTTACCATAAACATCTTACCCTGACCTGCTAGGGTGGAATCTGCGTAAAAAATATCACAAATGGTCACTTCTAAGGACAAGCGGGCTAACCCAGATTTCGGGGGTTTCCAGAAATCTTGACCTATGCCAAAAATGGGCATTGCCCTACCTATAGGAGAAGTTTGGTTTCATTGGTGTGTGTATATATATATCTGTTTGGTTATAGAGAAAACTCTTGTCTTTTCATGAAACTGAACTAGGGGCAAAAACTTTACCTTCGGTTTTCTCAAAACAGTATTTTTCAGGATAGCCCCCTTGTGCCTAAAAGCTCACAATTATGATGACCACAAGATAGGTGTTTTTGTTTTTTGAAGCATATCTAGTGCCTGAACAGTAAAAGAAAACTTCTGCCTAAACACGATTCGCAGGAAAAATGAGTAATTTCCAGGCAATTAATTAATTTATGAGCCTTTCCTTCCAGAATGTACAACAACAGGAAATATGACACCCGTGCTTCTCACACAATTCGTTAGCATTAAGTCAAGTAGACCAAACGGTTCTCTGAGCCCTTGGAAAAGCCAAGAAAAAAATTATTTTCAACACGCAGTTTAACTGTTTTCAGTCCTGAAACCAAAAGTTTTTACGAAAGAGAAAACAAGTTTCGAATTCTTTTACCAATTATTGTACCTACCTCATATATAGATCTATATATTTTCTCGCTTTTGTTTTTTAAAGAAACATTTAGTTGGAATTTCCACCAAATAATTCCTGAGTATTTGCAATTAACACCACAGATTCAGAAACTAGCTGCATTAAAAAAACATCAAAACTTTGGGCCAAGAACATCTGCTGAACTAGTCGACTTTATGGAATAGTATCATTCTCAAGACAAAAAAACCCCTAAAATATAAACTGTTTCCCTTGTCCGGATCGAGGTAAAAGATTTCTTTATTCTTCCACTTCTTTAATTCCTACTTTAACCCTATCCGTACGTCGTGTTTTACTATCGTATCCATACGACGAGGGGAACTCTGTGCCACCACTTAACCCTATCCGTACGTCGTGTTTTACTATCGTATCCATACGACGTGGGTAACTCTGTGCCCCCACTTTCCAACGAGGAAATTTACTCGTTAATCCGATCCATACGCTTTGCATAGCAGTCTATCAAAATGATTTTTTGAAAAATACTGAAAGTTTCAAAGAGATCTTCTCACTAGAAGTATTCTAAAATGTGGAGAATACAACCCCAATGGGTACAAAATGACCCCAGGGCGTACGGACAGGGTTATAACTATTTTTTTCAGAGTGGGAAGATTCTGTCTTGATTTATTGTTCAGCTGCACTGTTTTCCTTTTAAAAAACTGTTTAAAAATTCACACGAGTATAACTGCAGTAGTATCTTTTGTGAACTGAAGAAAGACAAGATTCTTTCCCTTTTGCCTACTGGAATATCATCCAGTCTTAAGATTCTTAAACAAAAAACCATGCTTGAGTTCCAGCCTGACGATATATAGAAACCACTCTTGGCTACTCCTGAATAACCATTTCTGTCTTGCAATTTGACTCAATTCATCTTTTGGGTGTCTGCCTCTTCGTTTCTAGCCTGAGTACTTGGTGTTGTAAAAGTTCTAGCTAAAATAAATTATACTGCAGTCGGGAGATGGATCCACTTCTCACAGTGCTATCAGTCTTTTGGAACTTTCCCTGTAATCCCCCACCCCCACCCCCACCCCCTTCCTCCTACCAAACAAAAAAAAATATTCACACCTAGAAAAAATCCTGAAGTCTTAAAAGTAGAAATAAAACCTTTTTACGCACAGATTTTGGGCATTTGAAATAATTATTTTATCCAAGTGCACCGGGTGGGCGGATGGACACGGGGTGGATGTGAGGTGGGCAGCATTTTCATGTTTCAGTTAAGCGCCACTGACACAGGTTTGCAAACAGCTGATCTGAGCCACATCAATGCATACACTTACATACACAGGAAGGGGCTACACCTGTACATGGAATATCCAAAGCAAATAGAAAACATTGGCACAGGGACAGAGAGAGACACGGACACAGGTGTGGGGTAGGTGGGTGGTGGTGGTGGTGGATGTGGTGGAGGTGCTGGCGTGGCAGCATGGTTACTCACAGGACATGGGTATGTAAGACTGAGGCTGCTGTAGCTGCATAAGCGACGTGTGTTGCAGCGGTGACATCAACGGATTCGTCTGGTACACGGGGAAGCCCCCTTTGCTGATGTCTCCCATGGCGATGCGCTTGTAGGCGGGCATCACACCGGGCATTGTGCTTTGCTGAAAGGCACGAAGGTACGATGGTGTGTGCCATTTGTCGAGGGGAGCGGGAGAGGGGGGTGGGAGGGTGGGGTGGTCACAATGTCCAGATGATGATGGTGGTAGTGGTGGTCAGTGCAGGGTTCCGTGGGGAGGTGGTTGGAGATTGGAGTTGTCATCGTCCGTGCAGGCATCATCATCATCACAAGGTGGGTGTGGCCACAGGCAGGCGCGTCATAAGCAAAAGGATGACAGACAGGAGGTCGAGAGGAGAGCCCGGAATTATCCGGAGTTGGAGTGGGAGTGGGAGAGGGTGGGGGAAAAAATATGTTAATAATGTGCTGATACAAAATACCATATAAAACAACACAAATGCACTCATGCACTCACCTCACTGGCCAGCCACGCTCCTCTCAAGTCCCTTTCATCAATTCACTCACCATTCATGTTCTTCATCATGTCCAGCTTCTTTCACACGACTCATATACTCCACACCCCCCCCCTCCCCCCCAATATAAACCTACGAATAAAAACATGAAATGGAACACTACAACACCACATGGTGATGAAATGTGGAACTGAGACGAGAAACACTCACAAAAACATGACACATAAGACAGCTGAATGGCAGATAGAGGAGAATTGTAATTTAAGGCAACACTAAGTATCCAGCAGGATGAAAAAATTCCCACCTTTTACCTTTTATAAAGCGAAAATTACTATCTACTCTACACCGTTTCAGTATTAAAGTGAGGTACTGTACAAAAAAAATAGAAAAAAATAAACCCCCATCAGTAGGTAGGAGTTCTCTAAAAAAAATAAAAATGAAGCATTTTGATTCAATGAAAAACCTGACACAGTGCAACGTTCTTTCAGAGCATCTGATATGGGGTCCAAAACACCTGTCTGTCTTAGTATGCAAAAATATCCTTATCAGTCTGATTCGTGAAATAAACCCCCCAAAAAATTTTTTAAATATCTGAAACACTACCCATTCCCTTTCATTTCAATGAAACCGAGCGAAAAAAAAAAAAAAAGTATTTCCACTCTGCTGTGTCAAACTAAAAGTGCAAAAAATTTTGTATCAGATAATAATAATAATAATAATAATAATAATAAGGAATAAAGTTTTATGACAGAAACAATAAGGCAAGCTGCACTACTGAAAGCTCAAATGGGCAGAAAAAAACCCAACCGCATCGAGGTAATAGCAGCCCCAGCTCCATAGTAAATCACTGAAGTCATATATATATATATCTGACCATAGTGGTACCACAAACATACACAGTTCTAACTGCATTCCAAGGGCAACTTTAGCAGTTCAAAAAAAAAAAAAAATATTGGGATTAATAAAGAAAAGCATCAAGAAGCTCTAAGGAAAGACGGAAGACCAACAAAAATGTTTGTTGATGATTACAAACGAATATTTATCCAAGACAATGCAATATCTAGATGAGACAAAGGAAGTCGAACGCACAAGACATATGCTTGGGTACAAATATATGATTTAAAAAAAAACAAAAAACAAAACGATAACCATATGATTTACTCATAGAGAGCTTTTACGCGTTATAACTTCTACGCAACACGAAAGCTTTAACACCAGAAAAAGTTCAAGTGATTAGAAATTGCAAATTTTGAATTAACTCGTAGTCTTCATTACACAAAATTGTTCCCATTGTCAAAAAAAATCAACCGTTTAAGGTTTACGTTCAAAAGCAGACATGTCCCTGCTTTATTAATCACACAAAACATGTTCCAATCTGGAGTAGAGAGTACGTCGTGAATCCACTGTCGCTCAGACAGAGGAACATCACACCAACATCCATCTACACTGTTTTGGTCTATGCACAAAGCATAAAATTAAAGCTCACATGCAAGTGACAACAAGGCAGCTAGAATATCTTGGCTTTTTTTTGTTTTTTGTTTCAAAATATTTTTTAATCGAAGGTTGAGGGGGACAAATATCAAACCCCTGCCAGCATTTCGATATGATTTACATTTTGAAGGCATATATTTTTTAAAAAGGGGAAATATGCAATTTCTAACACTCTATACTTTGTTTCAGAGAGAAGGTACACTTTATCTTTTTTTAAATGCACACAAGAAATTAAAGAAAATGTGAAAGGTTCACTTTGATGGCCGTGGTGAAAGAACAAAATGAAGAAAAACGGGGAAAAAGTTTAAATGCAAAAAACGTGGCAAAAGCTCTCTATGGCCACATGCAAAGCATGGTGGGAGGTAGATGGCAGTACCAGCAGTAGGTCATCCGCCGGGTCTCGCGGTCGCTTCTTGGCCAACACCATAGCGTGCGGCAGGGCAGGGGCACTTGACGGCTAATTAGTACGTGACGTAGGCCGGACGGCACACGTCAATGACACGTAGTGCAGTGCCCAGTGGCATTTCGGAATTGGCCGCAGAGTAATTTGTTTGTAAAGTGGTCGCAGGAGCACAGAGGAGGGTCGCAGGAGAGACAACACAAGCAGCAAGGCAGGCATTGACGGGTGATGGAAATAAAAAAAAAAGTAAAAAAAAATATAAGAGGCACCATCCATATGAAAGAATGTCATCATGCATATAATTATGAATATACCAAAAAAAGTATTAAATAATAGCAACAGTAAATGGTTTCTAGTTGCCAGATCTAAAGAGTGCTGGAGCTCTCCTTTTTCCAACATGTAAAAAGGGCCTAAGTGCTCATATTAATGAAAATGAAGACGCGGCCGATGAATGATTGGAGAAAGAAATGACAGACAAACAACTCTGGCATGCATAACACTAAACAAAGCGGTCTGGGATTACAGCTTTTGTGGATGGGGTGGGGGGGAAATGACTACATTTTAAAAAAAAGATGATTTTTAAAAAAAGAGCTCACTTTTATGCTGAGGGAAAAGGATTATGTGACCATCTGGCAATGACAAATAATTGTTTGTCAGTTTCCGAAAGACATAATTGTTCAATTTAATGTTTGAAGTTCTATTAGATCTGTACTATAACCTACTACAAACAACCAAGGTTTCTTCAAAACAAAAGAACTTATTAATTGCTCATTTATGGAACTGCACTGAACATCTTATATTATTTTCATATAGGCCCTACACTGAAAGGATAAATAATTTGAAAAATTTTGATCTCATTCAGATTTTAAGTCAGAGCTCGATTGTTTCTGTCAAGATCTTCATCAACTGCAGCATGGCAGGCATTACGAAAATGCTGAACAGTCCTACTGAGTAGGATCAGTTAAGTATAATCAGGAAGCAAAAATTTCCCAACCAGATAAACTGGAGACTATTCATTTGCTTGCAGTTATTATTTTATGTACTTCACAGCAAGGGCCATAGACTTTCAAACATTGTGCAGTACAACGCTCAAAACTAGTATACAGCCACCAAATGTAATTTTTGTCATTCCTGAGGGCAGTCACTATATTCTGAATTGAGTGTTCTATGCCCTAAAAGGTGCTAGCATGTTTTCACCTGTAACAGGCTTAGCTGATCACTAGCTCCACTCCTTGCTGAAAACTTCAAGTCAATACTCTTCAAGAATATGTAAGGAGCTGCTCCTGTGACAAACTATAGTCAGATACTGACAAATTTGATTGGATTTTCAGACTTGGAACTCTCTGTTTCTTAATTCTCACTTAAGATAAATAATAAGCGATACACAGCAATTAAACAGTTGTAATTTGTTTTAGTTATTTTCATTCTTTTAAATTTTTTTTCTGAGAGATATCGGTAGCAAATTTAAGCTTTCTGTATTTTAAAGAAACCAAAGAAAACTAGAAAAGTTTTAAATATGGAATGAAAAGGAAAGGCACACAGAAAGGCTTTCTCACTCTAATGGCAGAAAACCCTTTCTATCGTACTCCAATTATGAAGAAAATCAAAAGAAAACATTGAAAAGCCAGTGCTGAAAAAATAGACACCACCTGCCATTTGTCACATAATACTGACATCAGCCAAAAGCTTACTTTAAACTTTTTAGGGTGAGCAGAAAAAGGGAAATCATAACACAAATAGATCCCAGATCATTTGTTTAATGCTACACACAAAAGCTTGTAAGGACTCATAGCTGAACAAAAATAGGCAACACGCACCACACGCAAAAAGGTGGAGACATTGTTCGGAATGTATGTTTAACTGTAGTCTACAGGGTTTGAAACGGTTGAACAAATAATCCGCAGGTATACTAGTTCTGCTCGTTTAACATTTCCCGTGCCCACAACAGGGGGGTGGGGTGGATATCTTGCTGAATACATTGATTTACAAACAGTAAAGGATCACCAAAAGCCATTAAGATGAGGAGGAAAAAAAAAGGATATAAAGCATCTGAAAGTTCTGAAAGGCGTTTCCTTCATGCATGCCCGTGGTACAATAAGCAGTCAGAAGTATAGACAGAATATAGTCACACTAGAGCTGTTACATACATAGGATTATTGCTAAGTCGCTTCTAGGAATGACAGTGCATAGATGTGAGAGACGTGTTATTGCTCTTGAATCAGGAACAACGAAAAAGTTCTACAACTCACTCAAATTATAGCACCCATTACCCGTCTGGTTACATAAAATTTGGAAAACTCAAATGAAAAAACAGACAATATACAAATTTGGAAGAAAAAAACCCCCAAACCAAACATAACCCACCAACCCAGAATGATCGTTCCCAAGTTTACGCTTTAGCCCCTGTATATAACAAAAGCATCAAAAGCAGATTGACAAAACAGTGTGGATAAGATATGCGCAATAAACACTCAATGAGCTGGTGGTTCACTCTGGTCACTAGCTGGAAGCAGGTAAAACGAACCGTAACCCAACAAAACAAGCGTTCCTGCCAGCTTGGGTGAGCAGTGATCACAAATATCTGGCCGCGCGTCGAGCAGCAGCGACGAGGTAAGAAAAACAAAACGTGGAAGCTCCTACGGAATGGAACGTTGAAGCTCCTACGAGGTCAAAGCTGATCGAAGCTGTGTGTGACTGAGCCCAAAGATAGCAAAAGCCCAAACAGAGTCCAGGAAATGGGTA